TGGCCACGACGCACCGGAGAACACGATAGCAGCCATTCGTGAGGTGAGAGGACCGGGAAGGTCCTGGGGCTTTTCCCCTGTTCGTGTCCTGGTGATGGGTCCTCTGTTACATCAGCCCTTAATCATGTGCTTTTTGACTACTGGTAAATAATCGTTTTTTAAAGGTCGATAACAGGTTCTGAACACATTTTAAAACATAATGACAAACAAATATTTGTATAACGGTTCCTGTATCTTTAAACAAATGAAGAAATAAATTTATGTGGCATTGTGTGACATTTTGCATTTGAAAAATAAACACGGCAGTACTTTCCAGTGGGCAGTATTTAATAGACACTGTTTTAAAATGATATCTCATTTCTTTGGCATTTCAGTAGAGAGATTTCTTCCTTTTTATAGGCCAACAACACAACAGTACTGATAAATCCTCTCTATGATAAAATCACCATTATGTTTACTTTTTTGTAAAATCAAAGTCAGTGTCTCTAATACAAGTCTGAAATCTGTAACTTCATTCTATATATTAAATAATGATTTTGACACATCTGTGGCCATGACCCCCGGAAATACTTACTCTTCTTGTACTCTAGGCCAGTAAAAATGGAGCGACAGGTGTGGAGTTGGATGTGGAGTTTTCAGCAGATGGCGTCCCAATACTGATGCACGATGACACCGTAGACCGAACCACCAACGGGTCAGGACCACTCAGCCAAATGACATTTTCTGACTTAGGTAAACTGGATGCAGCTGCTAAACATCGACTCAGGTGAGAAACACGGACATTTTTTTTTTTTAGGCAGGTATATTTAGGAATTGTTAGTGTGTTTGGTGTGTTCTGTCTGTGTTGCTGTGTGGGTAATAAAAGAGCGGCTCCCTTGCGTGCAGAAAAGGCGGTTTTGGTGTCTGGCTCCAACATTGGAGTGAGACACAGGGCAGTGCTCCCTCCTTTTAAAAAAGCCACTCTGCTCTCTGTCCAAAATCTGCCCCTTTGCTCCGCTCTGCTCCACTCAAATACTCTGCTATATTATATCATGTTGCACAAAACCACTATTTCCTTCTTACTGGGCATTAAATAGAAAGTAAAAGACACCAGAAATATTTTAATGGCACTGGAGCATAAATTCTGTATAAATGTTTTACATGATCTGATATGGATTATAATAACCTGTGTCCCAGTACAGGTGAACAGTAAATTAGTTTGAAAAGCTCTTCTTGATTATGCATGAGAGCCTGACCTAGTCCTGTACCATTTGTGTTACTAGGGAGAAATTTGCTGGAGAAAAGATCCCAACGCTAGAGGAGGCAGTGGAGGAATGCATCAGACTGCAGCTCACAATTTACTTTGATGTCAAAGCTCAACCAGACCAGGTGCAGTCAACAGAAAAAGCAAACAAAACAAGACCTATGTGCAACCTGCCTGTTATACTTTGTTGATTTAATTGACCTGTCCCGAGTCAACACAATG